CTTTGCGTGTAAATTCGCGGTGTGTGATACGCGGCAAGGCCACACGTCGCGAGAAAATACGCGCAATATGACAATAGTGCAACGAGGAGACACGGAAATGCGTGCGTGCACGCACGCGGCACGTACGTGCGTACGTAGTGGTTACACGTAATGAAAGACGCTAGGCCACAAAGATGCAATGGAGTAGTGTTTGCGCAGCCGGCGATAAATCGTGCACACGTGTGCGATACCTCGAGTGGTATCCGTGTAGCGGTCCGAGTACTTCTGCTTCTTCGCTGTGACCGCCAACGCGACTCTTATCGCTCTCGCTCTCTCATGGCGCACAAAGTGTGCCTTAACGGTAAGAATTTTAATACCGTCTCGAATCTATATTACGAACGTTGAAATGAGGCTTCACTTATCGACTCATCGCAATGTTGTCTTATCGGGCAACAATGGCAGAGTGAATGTGTACGCGCGCGCGCATTTCACACATCCACGGCAAAGATGGAGCTTTCCCGGACGAGTATAGATAACTCGAGCGAGAAACTACGTCAGATCCGACTCGATCGAATAAAAATTGCGGTGAAGCGGTGACTCGGAGATTTTTGTCGAAGATCAACATTTGGCGCGGCATTTATTGTACATTTGTACAAGTTACAAAGGTCTGAAATGATAAAGAAATGTAATTCAATTGTCTCGCACACGTGTCTTTTACCTCGTTTCATTGGCTCTGCAATTAATTGTATTTTATACATGACTCAATAAGACACGACAATATTATATAGTGTGCCGTAGTCTGGCGACTGCCGGTGACACGACATTCAATCGCACGCGTTGAATCGTATCATCTTGCGTAGTGATTCGTCTCACTGAGATCACACAATGACCCCCGTAATAGTCAGTATGATAAGGAAAGAATACGTGTAGAATATTGGAGCATGACGCTGCTGGTGATTTTCTCAGTCTCAGTCAGTCGAGAAAAAAATGAACTCAATCTCGTATCACAACATGAAAATTGCACGCCACCGTCAAAATCACTGTGACGATGGCATGTGTCGCGAATGAGATAAGTAAAACCAACCGAATAAAATTAAGTAAATCAAATGAGACGAATGGCGCAAAAATATAAGTAAATTTCAAATAAAATACAAATCGATAAGAGTATTAGATGTAGTACTAAATTATAAATCAATAAATTTTGCAGATGAAATCAGTTACCCTTTTATACTACGGTCATAATGGTAATCGGTAAATATCTCTTTTCCGTGTTTTATGAGAATAATTGTGAGAAATGCGTGAGCTTCGTGATCGTAGTAGATGTAGTGAAAATCTCAAAAACCAGGTTCTCACATTACCGTGTGTGAAATGCAGGCGTTTACACAAATCGCAGCGCGTTTACACGATCGAGGACGAGAAGGGGGAAGAAAGAGAAAATCTTATAGTCTAATTCACAGCTTTGGTTGAGCCGATGTCACACACACACACATACCCACACACACATAGGTATATAAGTGGTAATGTACTACGGCGGGAAGTAATGACTAACGGTAATCAGAGAGCTGTTCTATCGACGAAACTGAAAATACCGTGATTTCGCCGATTACGGCGAGCCAGATTATTGCCGCATTAAAATAGTAAGAATTACACGTTATTGTGTACGATAAAATTTAACGATTAAACGATTTGATAGAAATATAATCAAGGGAACTTGCACACTTTACGTCCTCTACTGTTTCACGTCGCAATAATTATCAAAACCTCCATCTCTCTCTGAGCAATTCATTCCGGTGAACCTTTAAAGATGAATGAAATTAATGCGGCAATGAACGAAGAAAGCGCGCCTCGATCGGAGGAAACGGATAATTATTTCCTATCAAACGAACTACTTCGTAATAATCAAATGAATTTGATTCTAAGAGCCAGAGGTTCCATTTCCTTCAATCAGAACGCGTTTGGTCTGCTCGTCGTTGTGTAAATTCAACCGATCTTTTCTCCTCTGTGCACCGAATGAAAATGTTTACAACATCATCATCGTCGTCAACATCCGCTCGCTCTTTTTCGAGAAACACACGTTCGCAGAACTTCGTGCCTCTTCTCCATGCCTAGCGACAGCGCGAATTCTCATCCTTGTGTAATTGTCGCGACATACGAATGAAGGAAAAAAAGAAGGAAGGAGAGAGACAAAAAGAGTAAGGAAAAGAGAAAAAAATGAAACGAAACGTAGGCACGAGAACGAGAAAGAGAGAGAGAGAGAGAGAGAGAGAGAGAGAGAGAGAGAGAGAGAGAGAGAGCGAGAGAGAGAGAGAGCGAGCGCGCCGTTTCTCTACGTTTGAATTCCATCGAGTCTCGCGCGCGCTCTCTCGACAGCGCGGCGTTCACGGTCGGACGTGTGTCTACATGAAAGCAGGCAGAATCGCCGAGCCGTGACGGAGTCCGCATCAGCAGCAGTCTCAGGAAGGTCGGCGTCTAACATATAAAAAGGTGTATTCACCTTGATTCCTCGTCGCTCCTCCCTCCG